GGTCTCACTCTGACTAAAACTGTCATCCGTTTTGTTCTTCAGTGTAAATCTGTGTGTTTGTGACTTCAAGGTTATAAAATTGTACGTTTTCTGAATGCGGTTCTGTCTGACTCACCTGCGCCCCTCGCTTTGTCCCACACCACTATCTGAACTTTATTCTGCAGCTCTCTCCTCAGCAGACATGCGCACAAGCTGCCTGTCAGGCCCGCTCCGACTATCAGAACCCGGGACATGTTGAGCTCCGGAGCCGGACTAAAAGGCTTCGACCGAGATGTAAACCGGGTTCAACCGATCCAGTCCGGCATCTCTTTGGATCCGGAGCCTCAGAAGTTAAACACGCCCCTCGCGTTACAAAATAGGAGAATAAATGTGGGCCGACAAAAACTAACCCCGGGTTCAGGATCGTCGAGTTAGATGGAATATAAACGCGGAAAGAACGACTAGGAATTTCAGAATAAACTTTTTATTGAACCCAAGTAAAGGAAGAAACATCCGGGAGAGGATTAGGGATTACACATGGTAAGTATATAATTAGAGGAGGGCGATTTTTTTTCCTATTATGAACTTTGAGAAAAAAATAAAATTGTTGAGATTTAAGTTGAAATACAAAATATGATATAAAGTAGAAACATGGCGAAAGAAGTCAAGTTTATACTCAACATTTTTGACAAACTGCAACCTCTTGTGTTGAAAAATGAAGCCGATGCTGAAGTGTAAAATCCTGCAGTTCCTGGAGTGTCCACTAGAGGCTGGCTGCAGAAGCACAGGAAGTCACATACACACCCATTCTAAAAAGCCTGTTTTTACAGCAGAGATGAACATGTTTACAGCCTGGTTCAAAAAACCAAATAGGTGTGATTAGCTCATGTCTCCATGGACACACACTGTACGGGGGGTGAATGTTTTGATGACTCATCAGTTTTGATTTGATGAAGGATAAGAGTTATTCACAATAAGGCGTGTAGCTGACCTGATTGACAGGTGGGCGCGGTGTAACGGTTTGTCAGGAGGTTTAAAACCCGCCTCAGCTCCAGCTCTCAGCCTGTCGTTAGGTTGACTGAAAGTTAGACTGAGACAGCATTCCAGCATGGAGACCGCCATCGATGGGACTCCAGCGCCCCCTGCAGGAACCCGTCCGTTCCATCACTCAGGCTTCTTCATTCGTTAGTATTTACAGTCTGTGGTATAAAGTTGAAATACAAATTTAATACATTTCCTTACATTAATTTGATTTCCTAACCCTAGCTAAATTAACTATTCATTTTTGGTTTATGTTTTTTTAACAGTAGGCTAATTTATTTTCCATTATTATTATTTCTTTATAATGTTTTAATTTGAAAATCTCTGTTGTGTTTTTTTTTTTGCATGACTCAGCAGTTTTTTCATCTCGGTCCGTTTTGTGTATCTAATCGATCTTTGTTGATTTTCTAACAGAGGTTAATCGATTACTTAGAAAAGAATCAAAGTATCGATCAGCGGACATCAAACAGTTAACACTGAGGAGCTCGATCGACCAATCGCGGAGGAGGTCCGCCCTCTGACGTCACAGCAGCGCATCCGCCCGCGGACAAACAGTCAGCTGATAATCGGGACATTTGAGTGAAACATTATCAAACAGCTGCAGCGGACAGGTGAGTGTTTAATGACCTTATTAACCTGTTATGAACTCTGCAGCACCTGAACGCTTCATGTGGAGAATAAAGTGTTAAATATCGCGAGAACTTTAACTTTAAAGAGTTTCTGTTCTTTGTTTGGTCGTTCTGCTGCTTGTTGTAGAATATTTATTACACATTTAATACAGCAAACGAGTTTTTACTGATGTTTAAACTGCGAGACACAAACTGAAACCTGCAGAAACAACAAACAGAAAACAGAAAGTTACAGAAAAAGAGCTTAAAAACAAGATAACAGCAGCAGACAGGTCAAAGAAAAGACTCAACAACGTGTTTAAAACAACTTAAAGCCCGAAAGAGCAGAAAACAGGTCGATACATGAAGTAACGCTGATGTCAGCTTTTTCAAATCGTTTCAGAGCAGTCAGGAAACAGACTGAACATCATGTTCTCTCTCTGCAGACACTTGATTTATTTTAGCTTCAGAGAAATAAGAGGATGACCTGTGCAGGTAGGAAACATTCATCAAGGTGAGTTATGGTAAAGACTTCAGACTGCTCAGAGACTGACTGACATGTCACACTTTGAAACAGAGAGATGTGTGAAAACATGTTCAAACAGAAACTTAAGAGCTCCAAGAAGAGACTTAAAAACTGCTCGCTGATAGAAACCAGATGTTAAAAGTAAAAAGTAAAAAAAGTTGTCATGTCTGGATTTACAATATCTATATTTACTGAATGTAAATATAAGTAGGACTACATTTTTACATCACATCAGCCGGGTCTTGAACCGGCAGTATCAGAATTTTTCACTTGAAATGAATTTGCAAAAACCTGTTTGGTTACCATGGCAACAAAAAATAGAAGTCCTAGATAGTTAATGTTGGGTTATTTATTTTTTTGTGTTTTTTTTAGTCTACAAAATATTACAGACAAACTCCGGCACGTTGTCTCAAGCAGGACTGAATTCTGGATATTAGTCTGGTATCTGAAGAGGTGCCAGTTCGATTCCTGAGCACAGCTGAGGTGCACTTGAGCAAGGCACTGAACCCCAAGTTGCTCCCGCCTCTTTGTCTCCGGCGTGTGAATGTGTAGGAATGGATTATTTACCTTTGATGGTCACTTCACTTACAGGTGTGACCTGCAGGTAAAAGTCCATTTGCCGTCTCCCATGAATTTGGCAGATGAGGGGTTAAAACTCGTCTGTCAGCAGGAGGAAGGTCGGCGTTACAAAACGTCTCTAAAAGAAGAATGAAGTGTTTCAGAGAAATCCAAACGAGACGTATGAAAGGTCATTCAGAAAATCCAGTTTTATTCATTTTGATTCGAACGCTTCACGGTGCGGTCAGTGAACGCATCGTCTCAGCGGATAGAGACTCAGATTTATCATCCAAATGTTCCCATTAAATCATTGGTCAGGGCGTCCCATGTGATGACATCACTTCATCACAGCATCAAAGGACGTTATTCAAACTTTAAATCACAAACATTTTTTAAAGTTTGACCTTAAAAAAGAGGTTTGTTTCGAGTCTGGACAGAGTGAACAGTTGGACCCTCATTGATCTGAGTCAGAGCAGGTAAACCACCTGGGACAGATGATGTGTGTAACCCTGAACACACACACACACACACACACACACACACACACACACACACTTTAAAATAACACTGATAAATCAACACGCATCCAGACGTGTTCTTAACAAAGCTGCAGGGTTGACGACTCGACTCGAGGTTTTCAGCGTGAGGTTTTCATGATATCAGGACCTGTTTGGTTACCATGGCAACAAAAATAGAAAAAAAAGTCTTAGGTACTTAATGTTGGGCAATGGGGTTCAAGAAGTGAAAATCCCCATTAATAATCTCCATAGTGGATTTGATTATTAGCCATGATGTCATCACCATCACAGGTAGACTGACCACGAGCGACCTGAGTGTGAGACGATGGTTTACGTAGGAGACACGAGTTCGTCTGATATAACTAACACGGTTTATTAATGATATTGGGGAAAAGAACTACACTACCCACGATCACAGAGAGTCACAGCGGCGTCTCTGATTGGTAGAGCTCGCTGTCACAATACCACGGCAATGTTTCCCGCCTCTTTGGCGTCGAATGAGAACAGATAGTTATGCTAGCGGGCTAGCTAGTGAGCTAACAGGAAATAGCCTTGTCAGTGAATGTAGTTTCTATATTCAACAACACAAACTACAAGATAGTACAACACGTGTTGTAACAGAATGACTAAAGTTATGTTTACAAATTAAAAGAGGTGTCATTTGCAAAGGATTGTGGGATTTGTAGTTCCTAGACCCAGGACGTCACTTAGGTAACACAGTCCTGTAACCCTAACCCACCGTAACAGTTGATCCTAAACACAATGAAATCGTTAAGACATGAGGAAGAAACACGCAAAAGAAAATCAATCATATGACACAAAACTGCTGAGTCACCGCTCTGAAGAAATCTCCTCTTCACTTTCACACAGAGAAGAAGTTCTGCTTTATCTCGCCCCCCCCCCCCCCCCCCTCTCTCTCTCTGGCCCATCCTCACTGTTCTCTGTTTTAAACCACATCAGCTGATCTCTGTACTCTCTGATCTGTTGGTTTTTATTTGTGTGAATAATCAGTTAAACATCGTGTTTGATTGAAGTGTGGAAATCAAACGGACTCAAATACGCTGAGTCATGATTCAGCCGAGGGCGCGTTCTCCAATCAGCAGCTAGTACACAAACATTGGCAACGTTTTGGTACCAGTGTGCAGGAGTTTTTCAGGAGTGTGAAAACGGCTTAAACTTCTTGGTTTTGTTGCCGTGGTAACAGGTATTGTTAGATTTTACTAGAGTCATCTGGGATCATGACAACACCCAAAACCTACTACAGGTGTGTTTGTGGAGTTTGGGTGTCTTTGACCTCTGACCTCTGAAGTCTCTGAAGTAGGTCTGAATGTTTAGGAGCAGGATGACACCAGGCGATCAAAGTCCGACAGTCACTGAGGTTATCAGTCCAGCGCGTCGCGGCAGACCTGATCCAGGTCGAGGTGTGTTCAAGGACTCAGTGGCAGGGTGTGGAAATTATAGTTTAATAAACATCACTTCCTTAAATCCCTGATGACGATGTGTCACTTTAATGTTTATTTACATCAGTTTAATGACAGGGTGTGTGTGTGTGTGTGTGTGTGTGTGTCAGACAGACGATGCTGTGTGTGTTGGTGTGTGTGTTTTTGCTCTCCGGTCCGGCAGAAGCAGCCCGTCTGCTCACAGACTCTCCGATGCCCACCGACGCTTTGATGTACGAGAGCAGCTGGACCCTGAAGTACACATGAACATTGTGAGTACACACAATATACACACAATATACACACAAAAGCCGCTAAGTTGAGTTGAGCTGCTAGTTGAGTTGAGCTCCGCCCACTTTGACCTTTGTTCCTCTTATCAGAGGTCGTCAGGGTGTTTCTAACCCTCCGCTCTGCCTCTCAGGTGACCAGGTCACGCACTGTGTCCTAACATCTGTGTGTGTGTGTGTGTGTGTGTGTGTGTGTGTGTGTGTGTGTGTGTGTGTGTGTGTGTGTGTGTGTGTGTGTGTGTGTGTGTGTGTGTGTGTGTGTGTGTGTGTGTGTGTGTGCAGTCAGAGATCATCAGGCGGTGGGGCTACCCTGCAGAGGAGCACGAGGTGGTGACGGAGGACGGATACATCCTGACCGTCAACAGAATCCCACAGGGACTCAAACCCACCACAGGTCACACACACACACACACACACACACACACACACACACACACACACACACACACACATCCTCCTGTCCTCCCTCTGATGGCGGCACAGAGGCGGGGTCACTTCTAACGTCTCAGTAACATTCATAGTGAAGGAGAGACGTCACAGAGGCGTTTGAACCTCTGAACGGTGTGTTCAATGACCCCCCGGAAGTTTGGACTTAGTTTTGTATGCTGTTTAAAAAAATTCTGAACAGGAAGTGAAAGTTAAACTTTGTCCCACATGATTCTGTCAGCTGACTGCAGCTCAGCTTTATTTTTAAACTAAGACATGAAGTTTAGGTTCCCCTTAACCACATCACTGAAGAGGCGGAGCCGCAGTTTCACTGAAGCTCGCTCATTTGTCCAGATAATCTGCACACTGCAAACCATTAGAAGGTCGACCTGCAGCACGGCCTCCTGTGTGTGTGTGTGTGTCTTTAAATGTCCTGTGTGTGTGTGTCCTTAGGTGTGCGCCCGGTCGTCTACCTGCAGCACGGCCTCCTGGCTGCGGGCAGTAACTGGATCACTAACCCTCCTAACTCCAGTCTGGGCTACGTGCTCGCTGACGCCGGGTACGACGTGTGGCTCGGAAACAGCCGAGGAAACACCTGGTCCAGGAAACACAAGAACCTCAGACCGGAGCAGGACGAATTCTGGAGGTTCAGGTAAGGACACCTGGACAGCAGGATGACACTTTAATGACATCACAACACCTGTGTGACATCACAACACCTGTGTGTGTGTGTGTGTGTGTGTGTGTGTGTGTGTGTGTGTGTGTGTGTGTGTGTGTGTGTGTGTGTGTGTGTGTGTAGTCATGACGAGATGGCTCTGAAGGATCTCCCGGCTTCTGTAGACTACATCCTGAAGGTGACGGGTCAGGAACAGATCTACTACATCGGACACTCTCAGGGGACCACAATAGGTAACGCACACACACACACACACACACACACACACACACACACACACACACACACACACACACACACACACAGGAGATGTCGACCACCTTGCTCTGTTTTCATGCTCGTCCATCTCTCTGTTTCATTTCCCAGCATTCATGGCGTTCTCCTCGCTGCCTGACCTCGCCAGTAAGATCAAACTGTACTTCGGTTTGGCTCCTGTAGCGACCGTCGAGTTCACCGAGAGCCCGATGACCAAACTGTCTGTCCTGCCCGAGTTCCTCATCTGGGTGAGAACTGAACCAACGATAATGAGTCATTAACACGTGATGAATCGCCCGCTAACGATGTCATGATGATGTATAGATGATGTCATGATGATGTATAGATGATGTCATGACGTTGTGTTTGTATTTTCCCTCAGGACCTGTTTGGTAAGCAGGACTTCATGCCTCAGAGTCACATGATCGAGTGGTTTGCGGAACACGTGTGTGGGAAGACGAAGCTCAGAGAGCTGTGTGGAAACATCTTCTTCATCCTCTGTGGCTTCGACGAGAAAAACCTCAACGTGGTGAGAATCAGACGCTGTTTTGTTTTAAAACTCGGGCCGGGTCACACAGAGACGCAGCGCCCTGTAGGATCGGCCGGCGTCTGAATGCATGTGGGGGGAAAAACATCTGGGAACGCCTGTGGCTGCATGCAGATAAGGGCAGCCAAAAAACAAAAGTGGGAAACATGGATTCAAGCAAATGTAGAGCTTTTGCTCCTAGAAGAGGAGGGGGCGGAGCCTATAAGCTCCTGAGCTGAAAGTAATAAAAAATGGTTTAACTTTTATATGAATGAAGGCAGAGAGAAGTTCAGAAATCTTTTTTTTTTTGTCTCTGTGCAGACTCGCACTCCAGTCTACACCACACACTGTCCTGCAGGAACCTCAGTGCAGAACATGGTCCACTGGTCCCAGGTAACACACACACACACACACACACACACACACACACACACACACACGCGCTGACAGCTGGCGGCTCTATCAGTTCATCACTTCAGTTTTCTTCTGGCTTTCCTGCTTTTTAAACCGACATCATTCAGCTTCTTCACTCTTTAAAGTCAGGGTTGGTCATTTCCTCCAGATCCACTTTTTAAGATTTTGGTGTAAATTGTCTTTAGGTCCTGACAGAAATTAATAACTCATGTTCTCTGAAAAAGGAACAAAGAGAATCCATCATCTGTTTCAGTTTGTAAGTCTGTAAAAACTTCAACCAATCTCTGCCTCGAGGTACCAATCTGATGAACCAATCAGACGCGTCCCTGTCTCCCTGCTCGTTCTCTACCTCTTGCGTCCACTAGCTCACACTCAAAGCGATGAGCTGAGGTCTGCTTCTGGACCAACGGTGCTCGTGCATGTAAGTGAGGGGGCGTGGCTTTAGAGGGAGAACAGAGAGGAGGGGGCGGGTGTAGACGGAGCACTGAGGGAATGACCAACCCTGCCTTTAATGTCTTTCTATTCTTATCAAACATTCATCGCACCAAAGATACATCGGAAACTTTTTTGTTTTTGTCTGAGCACACTGAGGTCACTCAAAGCCTGAGTTTGTTGTTGTTGTTGTTGTTGTTTCAGGCCGTTCACGGAGGACGGCTGAGTGCCTATGACTTTGGAGTTGCAGGAAACATGAAGCACTACAACCAGGTGAGCCCGCCCCCGTACCTGCTCTGATCACACCTGAGAGACCTTCATGTGCACATCTGTATCTGTAGATAAAAAAGTTTTTAGACCCTGTGGAGTCAGTTATGACCAACCTCTGAATTATCTGCTCACTTCCTGTCTGTCCTCATGTGTCCCGCCCCCCCTCAGTCCACCCCCCCTGTGTACCGCGTCCAGGACATGAAGGTCCCCACCGCTCTCTTCTCGGGGGGACAGGATACGCTGGCGGACCCCAAAGACGTGGCCATCCTCCTCACTCAGGTGAGTCCGAGCAGAACCAGAACACACAGAGTAACTTAACACAGTCAGTGTGATCGCAGCAGCACCTGGTGGACATCAGAGGAACTGCAGCTGCATGCCCAGTTAGTGCGGTTTGTTTGTGCTGGTGCAGACGAACTGTACAGAGACCGCTTGAAAAGGTGGGACTCAGGTCTCAGTTCTAGTTTCCGGACTCGGGTGCGGTTTGTTTGGAGTAAGAACAAGAGCCGACCTTGATCCGACCCAACTGCAGGAAGCTACCACCCTCCGCCCTCTCTGTTCATCAGCATGTGGTAAAGACTAAAGGCAGACCTGATGGATCTTCAGAAACAGTTTGGGTGGATGACCCAATAAAGGTTCCTAATAAGCTAATCTGTCTGTCTCACCTGTCTGTCTGTCTCACCTGTCTGTCTCACCTGTCTGTCTGCAGGTGACCAACCTGGTCTTCCATAAGCACATCGATCACTGGGATCATCTGGATTTCATTTGGGGCTTGGACGCTCCAGAGCAGATGTTTCCAAGCATCCTGAAGCTGCTGCAGGAACACCGCTAGAGGGCGCCATACTTACTCTGTGTGTTTGTGTGTGTGTGTGTGTGTGTGTGTGTGATACTGTGATCATGTGCACACCTATAGTACAATTAGGGTACCACAGCTTTATGTGAAAGGGGAACAGTATGAACAACTTTTAAGGTTTTAATAAGTAAATTTAACAAGTGCATTTTATAGATGTGTGTGTGTATGTGTGTGTGTGTGAGAGTGTGTGTGTGTGTGTGTGTGTGTGTGTGTGTGTGTGTGTGTGTGTGTGTGTGTGTGCGCGCATGACTTTACTTGAGTTTTCCCATTTTAAGCCACTTCGTTTTACTCTTTCTTCACGTATATGTACTGTACTTCAATCAGGGTGTAACGATACGCTCAACTCACGATACGATTTTTATTCCAAAAAATTAGATTGAAGTCGATTATTTGGATAATCAGGATTCTTTTATTACAACTCTTTGGCAGTAAAATGGTTAATATATACATTTTATGTTACTTTTACGCCTCTCTTCTTCAGCTACTGGCATCAATCAAGAGAAGCCAAAAGCATCTACGCCCTCTACTGGTTAAAAATGAGTATTGCATTTTTTTTTGTCTAATCGATTTAAATCGTCCTTTATTTGTTTTTATTTTTAAATGTATCGAGAGGTATCGTTACACCCGTATACTTCAGTGTTAACCAGCTCTGTTCTGTAAACTGCTGAGCTCAGAAACAAAGCTGCTGTCGGAAAATGTTTGTAAACATTAGACATGTGAATTATTTTAAACTTTTTAGACACTATTTGTTTTTTATTAACTCTAAACTGTCATGTGACCTGCAGAAACACGAAACAGTGTCACAGCCTCATTAAATATGTGTAGGTTTGTTTTTGTGTTCAACCTGTGAGGAATCAAACTTTCTGCTGGATGTCAGAACGTCTTTTATTTTATTTTATTTACTCAAACACAGTCAGTTTGATAACAGTAGCACTTGAAGGCTGTTTGAGGAACTGCAGTGTCAGCTCCGAGGCTGCTGATTGGTCGAAACTCAGTTTTAGATTTAGATGTTAAAAAGTGGATTGATAGCAAACATGTTAATCTGACTGAAATCCTACTTATATGAATTTATTAAAGTTGGACTAACACACCTGGGTAACTTGGTTGGGGGTCGATTTACTCTTCAATGTTTACACCTCAATCAGACCCAAACTGGAATGGGCGTTCTGAGCATACTCCATAGATCCCGTGCAAGGCTTTGACCCGGAAGTCTACGAGCATAAATATGTAGAAGAAAACAAGACGAAGATATCAACATGGAGAGTGTTAGCGGTTAGCCGCTTGCTAGCATGTTTGTCGATTGTTTGGTTTGTGACGTTATAGGTCAACAGGGAGAAGGTCCAGATAGGTATGAGCTCAAAGGGAGTGTATCCAAGACCTCAGGAAGTGCGCCGGCCGTTAAAGACATTTTTACCTGGTGGTCGATCCTGGTACTGCAGCGTCACGTGATGCCATTGGGCCCAAAATAGACTTTTTCCTGTAAGCTAAAATTCATCATTACATCCTAAAAGTTGTAAAATGCAACTGAAGGCAAATCAGGGATATTTTTGTCGACATAATAAACGCAGATCAGAGACTCAAAGTGTTCATGCTCCATGGTCCCAGAACGCGGAAAGGTCCGGGTTCTTCTAAACGCTGGAGTCTGACTTTTTATTCTTCATGGGTCACTGAGCAGCTTTCATAGGAATGAACGGGTCTCCGCCTCCACCGCTGTTTCCACATCCATAATCGTCCCTGGGTGCTCGTATGCTGAGAAAAGTACGGTAGAAGTATTAAATGGACTAATCCGGCTGTCTCTGTAGCTCGAGTGTTTTTAAGTGGTGTAGTTTAAAAAATTGACGACTGAAAGCCCTAAAGTTACAAGAATGCTAAAGTTAGCATTAGCATGGTAGTTTGCTAATGGTAGCAATCAAAAACAATGATACGACTTTAAACAACGCCACCAAATATATAGTTATGTTGATATAAAGACCTGTCAGTCATTTGGAGGGACAGCAGCATCCAATCACGCAGGTTGAATTGAGGTGGGCGGGGCTAATGTTTCTAAACATTAAGATCACCGACTGTGGCTTTAAAATAATATCAGCAACGCATTTTATTTTGTTTCATCTGATGTGTTTGTTATGAATGTGAAACTGATTTTAATCAAACTCTTCATAAATAAATCTCAATTATCGAAAAGACTTGTTTGTCGTTTATATATTTTATTAACAAATCAGACACATAAAGCCGTCATTTGAAATGTTCATTTACACCTTTTTACTTTTTCTCTCTCTCAGAGACACAGATAGAAAATCGCTGGCACATCTCCTTCTTCACGGCTTTACTTTAAAGGTCACATATACAAAATCCACCATGTGTCTCTAACATTAATATATGTCTACAAATCCCCCAATGACGAGAAAAGTCCATCCTCTCCGTCTTCTGCCTGCTCCACTTTTCAGAAAATGTGTGCTCAAACAGGCTGTTTGGAGATTTTCCCTTCATGACATCACAAAGGGCAGTAGCCCCTCCCCCAGGTGGGTGACACTCCCACAGCTAGGTGTTTGTTCTGCCCTCTGAGTCTGCCTTCTCACCGTAAACAATAGGACATGGAGCGAGAAAGCCCGAGTACACCCAAGGCCTTCCAGAGAGGGGGGCGTGGTCAGACACAGCTAATTTACATATTTAAAGGTACAGACAAAGAAACAGCCTGTTCTGAGCAGGGCTGAAATAGAGGGGTTTATAAAGCTCATGTTGGATATGTCAATCAATTAATTTATTTCATCAAAATATCTGGTTACTCAAAACACATAATTAATTACTTTTTATGGTCTTGACACAATGTGCCACAGTCAAAAACCATTAACCTCAAATTGTGCACAACACCTGCTGCTAATCAGCATATTTTAAATACCATTTAGCTCCCTGGGCTAACGGGGCCATCCAGTGGTCATTCCAACCAACAGAACTACCAATAATGGCTCTAACAATCTTCACAGACATGTTTTGGAAGTTCTGAGACTTATTTAAATTTACTGAAAAGGACATTAATATGAGCCCTTTAAAGCTTAACTCGGGCTGTTATTAGCCCTTTTGTAACTTCAAAAAAGTGCTTGTTGATTGGGTGTGAATAAAATAGCATGAGAAACATTATATTAAAGGTTTCTTGCTCTGATGCAGTGGAAACATGGTGTGCAAACTGACACAGAAGTAAACTCCTCTCTTATCTCAAAACACAAGACCAGTGACCAATTGTTAGCCTAGCGTAGCACAAAGACTTAAGGTAAATGTTAGCATAGCTCTGTTTGTGACAGTATGTCTGCTGTTTGTCTTGATCTTAAACACTGTTGAGACGCCCCTCGGTTTGTCAGATATGAGAGCAGTTATCAGGTCAACAGGTGTTGCAGCGATGGAAGCGGTCAAGAGAAGTGGTTCAGATAGAAGTGATTGTACCCGACCTAAAAAGCCTCTGCATGTTTCTAATAAGCTCCACGAGCAGAAACGTGCTCAAACTAGGATCAATATTGGAGATGCTTTTGAAAAATGGAGAGAAGTTAGAACACAGAAAGGTTTACAGACCCATGCAGAGCTGGATAAACACTGAAGCTTCAGAGTCCACCACATGGTGACCTGAGTGAGCATCCACTCTAGAGAGGAGGGGGGGGGGGAGACAGCTCTCTATGATGTTTAGAATTTAGACTGCAGTACACATTTTAAACACTAGGGGTCAGAGTTACATACTGCTCCTTTAAGATTAACATTTGAAAAGTGTTAGCTCTGTTTTTCTACACATTGAAATCTTTCTGAAGTAACATTTGAGACAATAAAATAAGATTTACAGTGACGTTGATTTCCTGTCAGTGTGTCTTCTTCAGCAGGATAATGATCTTTTTAAACTTCAGCCTGGTGGCGATGTCCAGCGGCGTTTCTCCGTCCTGTAGAAGAAGAAGACGACGATGATGAGGAGGTCAGGATTCACACTGAACACTTCTCCTCATCATACCGCAGAGGAGCGTTTGTTTTCTCTGTATATTTTTTGACTTACTTTATTTCTAATGTTCGCGTTGGCGTTCCTTTCCAGCAGCAGAGGAACCACACGATGGTTTTTCCTCTGACAGACGTAATGAAGAGCTGTGTTTCCTTTCTGCTCACAAGACAAAGAACGCATGAAATACACAAAGTATGAAGTCCAGTCATCGAGGACAGAGGCCGAGTAGAAATCAAGATTATCAGAGAAATGTTCACTCACGTAGTCGACGGCATCAACGTTGACTTCGCTGCTCAGGACCGCCTTCATCAGAGCCGCGTGCTGCCTCTGTTTCTGCAGCTACAACACAAACACATCTTTATAATAACTGTCAGATTCATGGCACACTGCTGAAGTACAATGAGGACCATTAATAATGAGGAACTATTGGATTCAAACGCTAGCTTAGCATACCATGAGCTACCTGTCGTTACGCAGCAGCTCCTGTTAGCATGATAAGCTAGGCTAGCTAAGCGACACTAGCAACTGCGAGATTGATTGACACATGAACGGACCAATCAGGGTTAAGCTTTACCTCGTGGTGCATTTGTGATGTTTTTCTATCGGTTAGAACAGCTAGCAGTTTTGGTAATATAGACAAATCAGTGATGTTAGCATGGTGTGTTGTTTTGGTTAAAACCAGGACAGGGACTTTTCAAAACCGGGACGTGTTAGCACTTTATATTTGTGGGGACTCGGGACACAGAGCTTGAAAACAGGACGGTCCCGGGCAAATCAGGACGTATGGTCACCCTAACACAACAATGACCTCCTCGAGTGTCCCCAGTTTGTAGTTCACGTCCCGCACATCAGGTACGTGTAAACTGCCTGAGCTCTCTGGCGCCCTCTAGAGGTATCCTCCAGTATTACACGTCGGGCAGAGTTAAGGTTGTTGGGTCGGGGTCGAGGTTGACCAGCGCGTTCATCTCGGCGCCCTGACGTACCATGAGGAAGTATCCGAGCAGCAGGATGGGCATCAGGATGGCGATCATGAGATAATCCATCAGAGAGAAACTTCTCCTGGACACGTAGTGAAGACAGTTCCTCTGCTTCTGTAACACACACGCACCCCACACACACACACACACACACACACACCCACACCCACACCACACCCACACACACACACACACACACACACACACCCACACCCACACCCACACACACACCCACACACACACACACCACACACACACACCCACACCCACACCCACACACACACCCACACACACACCCACACACACACCCACACCCACACACGCACGCACGCACGCACAGACACACAGACACACACACACCCACACCCACACACACACACACACACGCACGCACGCACGCACAGACACACAGACACAAACACACACACACACACACACACACACACACACACACAGACACACAGACACAAACACACACACACACACACACACACACACACACACACACACACACACACACACACACACACTATACTTTAGAAACACAAGATGAAAGGTGGTCACATCGTCCTGACGTCAGCGGGTGAACACACACCTTATTGGTCAGGTGGACGTCGGCCCCGTTCTTCAGCAGGTACTCGACCACCCTCAGGTTGCCGTGGCGACAGGCCGCAATGACAGGGGTGTCCCCGTTGTGCTCCTCCTGGATGTTTAGGTCAGTCGGATCCGTCTTCAAGACCTGATACAGCTGATGGACGTCTCCATCGTACGCTGACTGACAGGCCGGCTGAGAGGGAGGAAGAGGAAGAGGAGGAGGAAGAGGACGAAGAGGAGGAGGAGGACGAAGAGGAGGAGGAAGAGGAGGAGGAGAGAGGAGGAAGAGGAGGAAGAGGAGGAAGAGGAGGAGGAGGAAGAGGAGGAAGAGGAGGAAGAGGAGGAGGAAGAGGAGGAGGAGGAGAGAGGACGAAGAGGAGGAGGAAGAGGAGGAGAGAGGAGGAAGAGGACGAAGAGGAGGAGGAAGAGGAGGAGGAGAGAGGAGGAAGAGGAGGAGGAGGAGGAGAGAGGAAGGGAGGGAGGGAAGAGGAGGAAGAGGAGGAGAGAGGAGGAAGAGGAGGAGGAAGAGGAGGAGGAAGTGGACAAAGAGGAGGAGGAAGAGGAGGAAGAGGAAGAGGAGGAAGAGGAGGAAGAGGAGGAGGAGGAAGAGGAGGAGGAAGAGGAGGAGGAGGAGAGAGGACGAAGAGGAGGAGGAAGAGGAGGAAGAGGAGGAGAGAGGAGGAAGAGGAGGAGGAGGAAGAGGAGGAGGAGGAGGAGGAAGATGAGGAGGAGGAAGAGGAGGAGGAGGAGGAGGAGGAAGAGGAGATAGGAGGAGGAGGAGGAGGAAGAGGAGAGAGGAGGAGGAGGAGGAAGAGGAGAGAGGAGAGAGGAGGAAGAGGAGGAAGAGGAGAGAGGAGGAAGGGGAGAGAGGAGAGAGGAGGAAGAGGAGGAAGAGGAGAGAGGAGGAGGAGAGAGAGGAGAGAGAGGAAGAGGAGGAAGAGGAGAGAGGAGGAGAGAGGAGAGAGGAGAGAGGAGGAAGAGGAGAGAGGAGGAAGGGGAGGAAGAGGAGGAGGAGGAGGAGGAGAGAGGAGGAAGAGGAGGAGGAGGAGGAGGAGGAGGACGATGTGTTAACCTATATTTGCTCGTTGTTTCTTCTCTGATAATAAATTTATTTCACTTTAAACTTTTTAAAAGAATTATTTATTTTACTTTGATCATTTTGAGTTTTGAAACATGTTGTGAGAAGTACGGTGGCCCCGAGACCTCAAAAAGCTGCAAACAAAACCAAACAAAGAAACTCAAATGTTGTCTTCACTGCAGGCGATTTATGGTTTTGTTGGTTTTAGTGACAGAGTTTGAACCCTCAGGGACACCGTACTCCTAAACATGAGCTCAACCCGTGACTCACACTCTGCTACACTTCAATTATTTCTTGTCTGTTTTGAGAGAACAGACTTCATCAGAGAAACAGGACGATGTCGCAGAAAACCCCTTACACTACCTGTGTACACACACTTTGCATAAAACAACACCACACACACACACACACACACACACACACACACACACACACACACACACCACACACACACACACACACACACACACACACACACACACACACACACACACACACACACACACACACACACACACACACACACACACAGCCTTTATAAACCAGTTTAACCAGTCTCTTCCCGCTGTCTGACTGGTCACATCACGAAGCGAAGGTGAAGCGAGAGAGAAGTGAAGTTGGAGGAAGATTCAAACTTCTATTGCTGACGCTCAATCTGTTTCTGATCTCGGAGCTGCACTCCTTAAATATTTCACATTCTTCTCTCCACATGTTTGGATTCTCCTGATCATCGATTACAGCCGAGAGCAAAACTCAAGTTCACCTGCTGATAACACACACAACGGGCCCCTGAACACAGACAGGTGAGGCCCCTGAACATGAACAGAAACTCTTTACTGAGGGAATAATCAGCGAGTTCGGTCGTCATGATACCACATTTTTAACATTTTATATTTACAATATAATTCTATAAAAAATTTAACTATTTTGATCTGGACGTTTTCAGACGGCTAACTTTGGTTCATTTCTTGTTTTTTAATCACCAAAAATGTCTTTGGTCTTTCTTGGTCTTGGTCTTGTTCTTTGTTCTTTGTTCTTGTTCTTTGTTCTTTGTTCTTTGGTCTTTGTTGTTGTTCTTGGTCTTGGTCTTGGTCTGTGTCTTTGGTCTTGGTCTTTGGTCTTTGGTCTTGGTCTTTGGTCTTTGGTCTTTGGTCTTGGTCTTGGTCTTTGGTCTTGGTCTGTGGTCTGTGGTCTTGTTCTTTGGTCTTTGGTCTTGGTCTTGGTCTTTGGTCTTGGTCTGTGGTCTGTGGTCTGTGGTCTTGGTCTTTGGTCTTTGGTCTTTGGTCTTGTCTTGGTCTTGGTCTTTGGTCTTGGTCTTGGTCTGTGGTCTTTGGTCTTGGTCTTTGGTCTTTGTCTGTGGTCTGTGGTCTGTGGTCTTGGTCTTGGTCTTTGGTCTTTGGTCTTGGTCTTGGTCTTGGTCTTGGTCTTGGTCTTTGGTCTTTGGTCTTGATCTTTGGTCTTGGTCTTGGTCTTTGGTCTTTGTTCTTGGTCTTTGGTCTTGGTCTTGTCCTGCCTTGGTCTTGGTCTTGGTCTCTGGTCTCTGGTCTTGGTCTTTGGTCTTTGGTCTTGGTCTTTGGTCTTGGTCTTGGTCTTGGTCTTTGGTCTTGGTCTTGATCTTTGGTCTTGGTCTTTGGTCTTTGGTCTTGGTCTTGGTCTTGGTCTTTGGTCTTGGTCTTTGGTCTTTGGTCTTGGTCTTGGTCTTGGTCTTTGGTCTTGGTCTTTGGTCTTTGGTCTTGGTCTTTGGTCTTTTGTCTTAGTCTTTGGTCTTGGTCTTGTCCTGCCTTGGTCTTGGTCTTGGTGTTGGTCTCGACTACATCACTAGTTCCTGCTTCAGAAGAGGTACCACAGCGGTGTAAGAGCAGAAAGATAAAAAGTCCCAGAACTGTTCAGTCTGAAAACATCTGATGACAGTAAAATGACACCAAACATCAAAGATCCTCTGTGAAAGATGCTTTACTGGATGGACTTTAAATGCTCAAAAAGAACTTTCAGTAAACAAAGTTTGAAACGGAATAAATACTTTTTACATCTTTTAGATTTGAGGCGTTTAATCTGACCTCTCTTCTTCATGTCAGACTTCACCAAAAACGAATCTATATTTACTTTAGTCTCCTGGTTTTTGAACTTAAAGTTTATTTTGAAACTAAAACGTTGTATTTATAATTAATAACATCGTTAGTTTTGATTAATCAGACAGTTTAGAGTTCTTACCTCGGAGTAAACCAGACCCATGACTGTCGGCACGAACACACCTGGACGAGTGAAGTTCACCTACACGTCCGCAGCATCACTTCCGCCCCCGCATTTCAAAATAGAGGTCAAATCTTTCAAAACCACACCTCCTTATCTTTTACATAAATGCATGTTGAGTTTTCCTATTCAGGTTATTTTAAAACATATATGTTTAATCTGCACAGAAACTCTTCCTGGTGCGTTCATGAATATAATATAAAATCTTTGATTCAGATTTTGTCCTAAACGATGGTGTAAAAATAAAGAAGGAAAGGTTGAATTAGACGAGATAAGATAAAACTTTACTGAACCCTTACCCTTATCTCTGACATGTTACATCTATTAAACATCATTAAAGCAGATAAGTTTACTTTTAAAATATGATAGTTAAAACTCTGTCAGGATATTAAAACATCATGACCTAATAATAATGTTTGTTTGTGTAAAG